TGCTGTTCCAGAAGCAGTGGCAGTGGCTGTTGTCGGGGAGGGCTGCTCATAAACCAGGTCTTCCTCTTGGGGGGTCTGGGAGCCTGTGTGCGCCTCCCGGGGAGGAGGCAGCTCTCACCTCCTTCCTCTGGGCGCCTGACTTTCAGTAGCACAGCCAGGACCCCAGAGTCGATTTCAGCAGCCGCGGGGGCCTCTGCAAGTGCTGGCTCCTGGCTCAGCCCCTTCCTGCTCCGACCTCTTGTCACTTTCAAACAGAAGCCCGGCAGAGGCTGGAGTCTGCCTTTGATCCCAGTTGTCCCCAGCACCTAGAACAATGGCTGGACCACGGACTCATGACTGTTTGTTGAATGAATAAATCAAGCCTAGCTCCAGCACCCCAAGACGCCTTAGTCAGCTCCTCTACTACCGCCCAGGGCACCTGGGAGCTTGGAGTCCACCCTGTTGCACGGCCGAATATCAGTAACCACCACGAGGTGACAGAGGCCACGAGCCTCATGCCCACCACGCCCCCTAGCTCCCACCTCCCCCGAGAGCTCCGTGCGGGCAGCTGCTACTGTCTTCTTTAACAGATGAGGAACGCAGGGGCTCAGAGGGGTCATGCAACTCACCCAGGGCCACACAGCAAGGCTGTGCAGAGCACCGACGTGAGCCCACAGTCAGACAAGCCCAGAGCCCTGCCCAAGTGGCTGCCAGCCATCATCATGGCTGTGTCACGCCTCCGACGACGGGTTTTCCTCCCATGGTCTCATTTCACCTCGTCTTTGCTGCCACTCCACAGAGTAGTGTGACTACATCACATTTAAATAATGAGGAAACTGAGGGTCAGAGAAATTCCGTGACGTGTCCAAGGTCACAAGCTAACAAGTGGCTGAGCTGGGGGTGGAATCCAGGATTGCCCGGGTCCAGGTTCCTCACGGGTTCCCGGCGTTGCCTCCCAGCCCCAGGTGATCCCCAGCTGATGACGGTGGCAAGCACTGTCCTGGGTACTGGGGATGCAGCCCCAGAAGGAGCAGAGCCCCCTTCCCTCCCAGGGTGACACTCCAGGGTGAGTGTGTTAGTCAGTCTTCAGGCACTGTGACAAAATACCTGAGAAAAAACATCTCAAAGGAGGAAAGGTCTGATTTGGGGCTCACAGTTTCGAGGGTGTTCTGTGCATGGTCAGCTGGCTCCTTTGTTCCTGGGCCTGAGGTTAGGCAGGGCATCATGGCCGGGGGGCGTGGTGGAGCAGAGGGGCTCAGCTCAGGTAGGGAGAGGGCAGGGGGAGCACCTTCAACCCATCAGCCTTGGGAGGATGTTCCAGATACAAACTCCAACAGTGAGTCACAGATAATAAACCAGAAAGCACAAACAAAAATGGAATATGTCAGAGGGCAAAGAGCATTAAAAAAGAAATGATATTTAGAGGGCTGAATGTCACACACATTAGGGAAAGCCAAAGTGAACAGGGGACATTTGAACAGAAACCTGAATGAATTGAACACACAATCCGAGCTTTTATCTGCAGCAAGAACATTCCAGGCAGAGGAAGATCATGTACAAAGGCCCTGGGGTCTGGCAGGCTTGGCATGTTCCAGGAACAGCAAGGATTGGAGAGGGTGAGTAGGACGGAGTGTGGAGAGGAATCAGAAATTCAGGCCAGTCCACAAGGGGTCCCAAGTGCATTGTGACAACTTGGTCTTTTTTTTTCCCCCAGGGCATTGGGAGCCACTGGGAGATTCTGAGCAGAGAAGTGATCTGACTTGTGGTCGGGTGGTCCAGGTGGCTCACCCCAGCCGCTGTTGAGGATGGACTCTGGGTGGAAGCAGGGAGACCCCAAGAGACTCCTACAACTTCTAAACGGGTGATGCCCGGGACTGGCCAGCAGGGAGGCCGTGGTGGTGGGGGGTGATCTGGGACCTGAGGAGAGAGAACTTCCCGTGGTGGGCCTGGGGGAAGGGGCAGGAGTCTGCTTGGGCGGTGATCTGGGTGTGACGAGTGGAGACAGGGACAGGGCTCACAGTGGGGACGGAATGTCAAGTCCCACCTCCGGGATTCGCCTGGCGGAGCCCTCTGCAGGTGTGGTCTGAGGTCCCTCGTGATCCCGTGGGCAGGATGGCCATTCCCACCTGACAGCTGAGAACACTGAGTCTCCCAGAGGTAGGTGGTTTCCCAAGGCCACACAGTGAGCCCAGAACCGAGTCTGAAAAATATGGGATATCAGCAAGGAACAGGGGAGCCGCTGCAGTGGCACCCCCTCCGCCCCAGGGAACCTCAATTAAGCTGCTCCAGAGACCCCCCCTGCCACCCCCCATAATTGTTCCTAGACTGTCCGCAAACTTTCTGCAAAAGAACTTTCAGGCGCAGGTACCCTTATGCTCCAGCAGAAAGTGACCCAAGGCCTTCACAGAGGGGTTTGCACTTCAGTAGACGACAGTCAGGCCCTAGCTGGGCCAGAGGGAAGCGGGAGAACGCTCCCCGTCCTGGGCGCTGATTGTCGCAGAGTGTCCTGATTTTGTGTCCAGGCCTGGGTTCCACTGTTCTGGAAAAAGCTGTGGACTTCTGCAGACTGTGAGCCTCTGAGCCCCTCCCCTACACACTGGGTCTAAACTCGGGGTTCAGGGGGATGGATGGACCTGGGCAAGAGCCCCATTTCTGAGCCTGGCTGCAGCCAGTAAGTAACCCTGCTTCCTGCCATCTCCTCTGTGTCCAGCCTCGTCTGTCCTGCAGCACTTCCGTATCAGAGCAAGTCAGGACAAGTGGCGAGTGGCTAGAGACCCAGCTCTCACGACAGCTTCAATAACATAAAGTGAAATAAACAGGCAAGTAAAAGTATCATATTGGCCCACAGATCTGAGCGACTGCTTCAGGCCCAGATGGATCCAGGGGCTCAAATGATGCCATTGGAAGTCCCCTTTGCCCCTCATTCAATTCTGGTGTCCTCTGCTTCTGCTCCGCCCTCAGGCAGGCTCTTCTGACTCCAAGTCGAAGGGGTCCTTCCAGCTGCTCCCACCAGAGTGGAAAGAGAACCCTCTGAGCACAGAGCAGCATGGGCCCAGGACCGACTCCCGGTGGGTGGCTCGGGTCTGTGCGTGGGATCAGCCACAGGGAAGGCCATGGGGGACTGGCAGCTCCTCACAGGTGAATCCAGGGGCTATTTTCAGAGGAAAGGAGGATGGACACAGGGTTACGTCCAGCCACGGGTGCCCACTGCAGAGCAGGTGGCCACAGGGCTCCCCAAAGCTGGGCTGGTGTGCGGACAAGGGGCTGCCCAGGGGGGACTCTGGCACCAGGGCGCGCAGGCTTCAGGGATCCTGCTCCACCTCCATCTCTTCTACCAGTCCTTGGAGCCCGTCCTGCTGGGTGACGTAAAGTGTCCCATCCCAGCCTTGAGGCCCTGGGCTCTCTCATTAGGGCTCTGGATCCTTCTCCCTCCAGCCGCTCAGCCCTCGCTACTTGTGACTGTGCTGTGGCACTCCAGCCCCCGGACCTTGGCTCATGCCACCCCCTCCCCAGAGCACCCTCCTCACCACCCACCTGCTATGATCCTGCAAAGGGGACCAGGCCGGGCTGGAAGAGGGAGCTGGGCACCCCCCACCTGCCCACACTCACGGGCACCTATTATTGCCTGTGCCCTCGTCATGCAGCCTGGGCAGGTGAGCAGGAAATGCCGGCCAAACAGATGGGAAGTGAGTGAAGAAACTAGGATTGAGGAACTAGGATAGAGGGAGGAAGGAAGGAGGGGGGTCCAGTTCGAAGGTCACCTCCTTGGGAACCTCCCCTGAACCTCGTGTTCAAAGCCAGATTGATTGACTTCTCAGCACCAGTCATTTGGGGATATGCTGCCTCAGCCCCACTTCCTGTGATGCCAGGAAGTACATCTTACTCATCTCCACCTTTTCCTCCCGCTCCCCCTTCCCAGACCCTCCCTGGTGTGCGGTGCCCGCTGAGCATGACTAAAGGCCTTAGAGATGTCCCCGTGTCCTCCCTCCCCGAAAGATCAGTCTGTGAATGAGGGCGAGGCTCAGATTCATTTTTCTCTAAGTGGAGGCACCAGCGTAAGGGAAGAAGAGGTGCTTGTGGGTGCTGGGTGCTCCGAGTTTATTTCTCCCACAGGCCTGGGAGACGGGCAGTGGTCTTCTAATGGCACAGGTGAGCATACAGAGGCTCAGAAAGATGCAATGACAAGACTAAGGTCACCAGGAACTAGGAGACAGGAATTAAGATAGAATTGGATCCCAGAACTGGGAGGCTGGCAGCAGACTGGGAAAGAGAGGAGAGAGAGAGGGTGAGACCTAAATTGGAATCTAGGCCAATTTCTGGGGTGTAAACACCTCCGCCAAAGATATTTGCAAGCTGCCAACAACGGTCTGCAAAATGCTCAGAGATTTTACAGTTGCTTCTTGCACACACTGAGGGCCATCTGAACCCAGAGCAAGGTCTCCTGCCCGGGCCCTGTGCTGGGACCCGGTGGAGGGAGATCCTGGGCAGACGGAAGCCGGTCCTTGCGCTTGTCTCCCTCCTGCCAGCTCCTGGGGCTTCCCACCGGGGACCCTTCCTGACACCCTCTCTGCTCCTCTCTGTGTCCTAGTCCTGAGGCGGTCTCCCTCCCCCTCGGGGTTCTCTCTCTCTCTCCTTTTCTTGAACTCTCTCTCCCTCTCAGGAAACATTTCAAAGACTGTTTTGAAAACAACCCAGTGACTGACTTTACAGGTTTTTTCCCCCTCTTCTAGAGAACAGGACGTGAGGAGGCCAGGCTGAGCTTCCTGTGTGAAATGGTGTGTGCTCTCTGAGCAAAACAAGGGTCAGGCTGTGGTCCTGAAGGAGCCCCTGCCAAGGTCACCTGGAATCCGGCCCCCCCACCCCCGGCAGTGCAGCCTGCGGCTTGCTCAGGCTACTCCTGCCCTCCCTGGGGACGGGTTTTCCGGACTTGTGCTGGGGAGAGGGCTGGGCCAGGCACAGGACGTTCTACCGCATACCGCAGTCGCGCCCCATTTATCCAGGCCCCGGCCACAGTGCAAAAGGAGCCCCCCTCTGGGGCCTCCCTGGTCCAAGCCCTGAGCCACCTCTTCCTATTATGGATGTGACCCGAGCATGCCACTCTGCCTTGGTGAGCCTCAGTTTCCTCATCTGTGAAATGGGGACAATGAGGCAGACTTTGGGGTCTTGCCAGTCAGACTATATATGTCAGTAACACATCTGGCAAACTCCCTAGTAGGTGGTGCTGAGGTGACACTAGTTATCTGTCCATCAGGGAAGGACAGTCACATATCAATGCTAATGGATGGGTACCCCCATCATATGGCAAAACCGTGATTAACCAAATCTCTCTTGATGAAAACTTTTAAGAATTAGCTGTGAGGCCGTAGGCAAGTTACTTAACCTACAAGCCTCCGTGTTCTAATCCGCAGAAGGGAGTTTATTATGGGGGCCACCATGAGATGGGATTCATGAATGAGCTGGTACCAAAAGGGCGGGGAACGAGGCCGTGGGGTGTAGGACATGCTTCCTTAATGACGTGATCATTACCAACATTAATGATCATCCTACAGTCACTCAACAGAACATGTGCGACTTTTGTGCTTAAGGAAGCCTCTGAGGGGGACAGTCGCCATGCATTTCCCTCTGGGACGCCATCATCCAGAGCCCACCCTAATCTCCTGGTGCTGCCCGTGACCTCATCTGGGACTGGGCTGGAGCAGTGCCTACTTGACAGGTGGGTGGGCGCACCCCTGGGCAGTGCTTACAAAAGATGGTGGTGGCTACTGGCTTTCTCTCTTTGGCTGCTCAGATCCCACGTGGCGGGACCCCGGCCTTTGCCTTTCTGCTTCGTGCACCGCGGGGTCCGAGGTCCGATCAACTCCAGAGCTCAGGCGGGCCTGGCCACGCCCCCTCCGGGAAGCACCTGACGCAGGCTGACCAGTCAGAGCGGCGCCCCAAGCCCTTGGCCACGGCGATTGGTTGAAAGCTGGGCATGTGACCCAAGCTGGGCCAATGAGAGCCAACTTTGGCCCCGCCTGCTGCCCCTCCTGGAGTGCGCCTGCTCTCCTTGCGTTTGAAAGCAAGCTGGTGTGCGACGCTGTCAATGCTATTTAGCATCGTTTACTCCATTTTACAAATCAGAAAATAGCATCGAGAAGCCTGATTGCGGGTCCTGGTTCTGCCACTGTCTGCTCTGCTCTTGGGGAAGCCCTCACACTTATTAACAGAAACTGTTAAGTAACAAGTGCTGGGGGGTCAGGGGGACCGGCAACACTCAGGCTGCACCACGGCTGGGGGCTCTCATTAGAAATGCCATTATTCCCAGATTATAGGTAGGAAGACAGAGGCACCCGCAGTTCACACAGCACATGAATGCTTGCGATTTGAGCCCAGGTGTCTGAACATGGTTCATACCCTGGTCCCGCACCACCTCTGCTGGCGGGCAGGGCAGCCCCCGTCCTCATGGAGCAAACCTGGTGAGGGTGGTGACCCTTGGCCCCTGTCTTCGGGTTTCTGGTTTCAGAATGGGCTTCTTGCCATCTCAGATCCCGCTCACCTGCGACCCTGGGCAGGTCCTGGCTCCTCCTCTCTAAGCCTCTGTTTCCCTAGTTAGGAGTAGATGTGTTCTGATGCTCAGAACTCTCCTGGGAGCCCTGGGCTCTTAGTACCCCTCCTGTCCCTACCCTTGCCCCCCAATGTCCATCCCCCAAAGCCATCTCCCACTGGAGACTTGCTCTTGGACCCCATGGACTCTATCTTCTGGCTTCCCTCCTCAGCAGGGGAGGCAGACAGGAACCAAGGTCCTGTGTTAGTATAGATCAGCCACCCGCCAGCTGTGCAGGCCTGTCTGGCCTAGTGCGGAGCAGGGCTGCTGCTATTGATCCATGCCGTCAGCCCAGGAAAGCATCTGTTTGCCTTCCAATCTGAAATCAATGAGACCTGGTCTCGCAGATGGGGCAGGAGGGTTTGGAGCCAAGAAAGAGTGCCCCTAGAGTTTCAGGACTGAGCAGAGGGGCAGCGCAAGGGTCAGTGGACAAGGTGGTGCTTCAGAGCATGCTGGGAAGAGGCCTGGGCCAGGGGGCTCCCTCTGGGCTCTGAACCCCCCAAGCAGCCTGGTGGTATAGGCATGGCAGCTCTAGGCCAGGTCGTCCACACGCTGTGCAGACTTGGGCAAGTCTCTGTCCTTCCCTGGGCCTCAGTTTCCCCAGGAGTCAAAGGAGGGGGTCAAAGCAGTGGGTAGTAAGGACAGTCTTCTCCCTACAGCTCTACCCTGAAGGATGGTTGTGACAGTACTTCCTTCTATCTGGGCATGAGCCCTAGGATGGTTTAGGGGGTAGGCCTGGCTCTTATGGGGACTCATTTCACACCATGGGCCCTGCCTGTCGCCCCAGAATGTCAATCACTATCCCTTCCCCCACACTCCTACCCCCTCCTGGCAAGACCTCATGATACCCCTCCTCCCCATCCCAGGGTCAGCAACAGATCCTAGATCATGTGCTTTCTGTATAGGGGTGGGGTGGACCCCAGAAATGGGACCTTCTAATGGCCCCCAGAGCTGGGCTCCGGTATTTGCTGGAGCAAGGAGTGCTGGGTTGATGCTCTGGGCTGAGTCCTGAGCCCTGGACACACCCTGATCGATGTCCTTCAGTGTCTCCATCCACAAAAGGGGCACACTGACCAGGTGTGGGCTGCTGTGCCCGTAGGCACCTCCTCTGCTTTCCGTGTGTCCCGGATACCCCCTCCCCTCCTTGCTGCTGCTCCCGTCTTGGTATCTCCTTCTGCTCCATCCTCGAGGCCTCCTGACCCCCACCCTACCCGGCTCAGCAAGCTCTTGGTTCCCTGTTGCCATGACAGTGTGGAGATCCAGGCCTCCCGCTAACAGGCAGGACCCTCTTTGTTCTCCTCCAGTGGCCCTTCCTTCCTCACCTGCCCTCCCCATGGGCCTGTAGCCCTGAGGCTGAGCGCTGCTCCCAGGGCCAGGCTTCCCCACCTCCAGGCACGGCCTAGTAATGTCTTCCCCCCTTCCCCTCTGTCACTCTTCAAGAGCCTCACAGGCATCATGTCAGCCATGGTGACAGGGTGGGGGTCCTTCCGAACCCCACAGCACTGACTACACCTTTCCAACCCTGCAGGCCTGGGTTAGAATCAAGGTGACCCCACAATAGGGGGATTACTCTGTGGAGGCTGGGAGATCACAAGGTCCCTGGGGACAGGGGACAGGTCCTCCTTGTAACTTCCTCGGGGGATAGAGGGGAGAACATCGATAGTTTGGAGCTGGATTGGGAGGATTTAGGCTATACTGGGTGGATTTAGATTAAATCGTGTTGGGTGGACCTGGCCATCAGGCTAGGTTCGGTGTGGTTATCTGGGCTCATCGGGATTCAACCGAGCAGCTGAACTGGACTGCTCAGTGGAGCGGGATTGGAATGCTGTGTTGGTGAGGTTGGTTGGAGTGACCTCCGTAGTTGAATCGGGCTGGATTATTTGGATTGGGGAACTGCATTGGCTTGAGCTGGGTCTTGAGTTGGTTTGGGCTAGGCGAATGGCGTTACCGGCTTGGCTTTTTTGGGGGTAGTTCAGTTGGATTGGGTCCATCGGGTTGGTTTGGGTTGGTTTAGATGGAGTTGGTTGCTTGGTTTCAGTCAGATACATTAGTTTCGGTGGGCGGCCAAGTTGAGTTGATTGGCTGACCTGGGCTGAGCCCGTTGGCTGGGGTGGGTTAGGTGGCGGGGGCTGAGCTCCTTGGGTTGGAGTGACTGTTGAGTTAGGCTTGGTTAGATGGTGGAGCTCATGCCTTGGCTGGGCTAGATGGCTGGCTGATTGGTTGGGTAGAGCTGGTGGGAGGGAGGGATGGTCACTTGGGACCAGAACTGAGTCAGCTTTGATGAATGGGGCTGGTTGGCTCGTCTGGCTTGGGCCAGGCTTGGTGGGCTGGGTGCTGGGCTGGCCTGCCTGGCCTGGGTTCCAGGTTGGCCTGGGGATAGCCACAGTGCTGAGTTCTGCTCAGTCTCCACCTCTGAGCCAGGGCGGGTGGAGGTGGTGGGCGCCTTGGCCACAAATAGCTGTGGGGAACACAAACAGTTTGGTCTTCAAAGCCCTCGGTGGTGGCGGCTGTAACTTTCCACCAGCTCCAAGCAAGCACGTCGCTAGGCCTCGTGTGGGGGCCCGGCTGCTGCTTCCTGCAAGCTAACCACAGTGTGGGGGGCGGAGAGGCAGGGAGCTGGGGGCTGCAGGAGTCAGGCAGCCTCGCCAGGCAGCCTCTCCAGGCAACCCCCAGCTGGGGCCCAGGTGTTCTCCGCCTGGAACAAGAGTCAGCCCCTGAGGTGGGGGATCGTCCTGCCCTGCAGCCGTCCTGGCAGGGCCGGTGGGTCAGAGTTGGGGATGAGACCCAGCAGGACTGGGGGAAGGGGAACTGAGGGTTCAGCTGCAGGCCCAGCAGAGCCCAAGGGTGTCTGGGACTTTGGTTTCTGCACAGCTGAGCTAGAGCCTGGGCCAGGCATTCATTCATTCATTCATTCAGAAACTATTTCTTGAGCCAGTAAAGTCCAAAGACCTGGCATGCAGGGGTCAGAGGAAGGAGAGAAGGTGAGGGCCAGAGAGACGGGCTTCTGAAGGCCAGGTGACCAAGCCACCCTCCTTGTCTCTCTCTTTTTGCTCCGCCCCCTCCCTGTTGCCCCTTGGGAGGGTCCCACCGTGGACAGCTCAGATGCACCCGGATGAGGCATGCCCAGTGGGCAAGGTGAGACCCGTGGGCTGGATACTGGAGGCCCAGCTCCCCACCCACCCAGCTTCTCTGCCTTCTGTCCTATGCCACCTCCCCATCCAAGCCAACTGGACTGACCCTCCCTTGGACCTGGGAAGATGGACCCTCAAGGGGCTTCAGAAGTTGTTGGATCCAAGCCTACGCTTTAGGGGTGGGGAACTGGGCCCAGAGTTAGGAGCGGCCTGCTGGGGTGACCAAGCCACCTCTGCTGGGGACACGTAGAGGGTTGGAGGTGAGCTCAGGCTGCTGTCCAGTTGTCCTGGCCACCCACTGTAGGGGCAGCTCCCTGGCGCTGTGGGAAGTTCCGCGGCGCTGAGCAGTCCCAGGCCTGCCGTGTGCCTCTGTGTGGCCTTGGGCTCCTGTCTTCCTCTCAGCCTCGATTTCTCTGGGACAGTGTTTCTCTCCTGGGCAGTTTTGCCCTTGGGGGATCCGGGCAGCTCACAGCTGGGAAGTGTAGGGGCACCTGGGAGTGTCAGCCAGGGACGCTGCTCAGTGCCCCTGGGCACAGCAGCCCCCACCTCCGGTCTCAAATGGCAGTAGCACTGGGCTTGGGAAACCGTGCCACAGGGGCCAGTCCCGGTTTGCAGGACCTCCCAGTCACGGTCACAAGCTCACACGAGAGCTCACGCGGTGAGGCTGGCAGTGCCAGGCTGCTCGGCAGCTGGTGGGTCTCGTTCCCAGGAACCCCTGCTCCCCATCCTGCCCTGCAGACTTCTGCTGTCCCTCCTCTAGGCCTGCCCCCCCTCCCCAGCTCTCGGACTTGGCCTCTCCAGGGTGCTGCCTCTGGCCATCCGGCCACAGTGCCCTCCCCCTGCTGGGCTTCCTGTGCTCGGTCTGTCCCGCCCACCCCAGCGTTGGCCCATCGGGTGTTCTGGGGGCCAAGAGTCCTCTTTCCAGGAGTTCAACTCCTTCTGGAACCTTCTGACCTCCCTCCCCCCAGCTGGACGGAGCAGTCCTTGATGCAAGGGCACATCTGTGTCGCAGCGCCCAGGCCTCAGCTGGCACAGAGGGATGAGAGCAAGTGTCCTCTCTCCATAAGGCCCCAAGACGCCCTCTTCCCTGCCCCCCCTCCTGCCTGGCACCGTGCACGGCAGGGGACTGATGGGGACCTGAGCTCTGAGTCCTTGCAGCCTGGAGCAATGTCGGGATTGAGATGGACAGTGGGGTGGCGGGGGCTGCAGTGTGCCAGTTACAAGGAGCCAGTGGCCACGGGCGCATCTTGGTGAATCGTAATCATGGGAAAGACAGGTCTTCTTGGTTGGGGCTGCACTTTGGCCCTTGAGGGCAGTGACCACTGGCGTTGCCGTGGCTGGCCTGTACCACTTCCCTGCTGTGTGACACTGGGCACGTTTTTAGCTTTGCTGGCCCCAGTTTTCGTATCTATAAGGTGAGGATTGTAATAGGACCTTCCTCCCCGGGCCAAAGAGGGCACTGTCTTGCAGAGGGTCAGTGCTCAGCCAAGGACGACAGCGGCTCTGACAGTCAGAACTCCAAGGAGCCACTCAGGCAGCGAGAGGGCTCCCCCTTCCTCCCACTGTGCCCCCCTCTCCTGCTGGTGCCTCCATTCAGGCCTCCCTAGTGGAGAGAGGCTCCCAAGTCCCCGCAGAATCCCGGCTCTGAGTCCCCATCCCTGGAGCTGGGCGGGGTTTGTGGTCTGATCCTTGGGAACCTTGACACGGCCACACCACCTCTGTGGCATCTGCCCTGGTCTCCCTGAGTGGCCCCTCCTGAGCCCCGTCTCTGGCCTGTGGTGCCCACCAGGAGCCAGGCTGGGCTGGCGGACGGCTTGTTTACCCTCTGCCCCTGTGGGCACTTGTGCTGGAGGTGAAGGTCTGCGGGTCGCCTGTGTTTCCGGCCTGGTTTGCCCTGCCCAGCGCTGGGTGGACGTGTCTTCCAGCCACCCCACCCTGGGCCCCGCCACCCAGGCCACAGGCTTTCTCCTTCCACGTCCCCTCCTTGGCCACCGGAAAAAAGACTCAGAAGCCTCCAGGGCCACTCAGGGTCTGCCCAGCAGGGAGTTGGCACCTGGCGGCTGCTCAGGCCCTGGGTCTCCTGGATGCGGACTGCGGCACTGGTCAGCTGTTTCAGAGCCACAGAGTGGCCATCCTGCGGCACCTGGTCCTTGCAGACCTTCTGTCGGCTTCAGTGCCTCTGCCTGTTGCTAGAGGTGCGCATCCTGAACTCAAGGCCTTGGGACAGGACAGTGACCTGTCTAAGCTCTCTGCTTGGTGACTCCAGGAGGGACGGAGCCACACCCGCCATCTTGGGCATCCAGCTGTTCTGCAGTGGATTCCCGTCCCCAAAATGTTTTTTCCCAAATTTCAGTCATTCCAGGAATAGCTTCCTGGCCTTTCTTACCCTACATTCATCTTGCATATACTATTCCTTCCTTAATTTTTTAAAAAACGGATTCATTCTTTTCACTTAAATAAATTTAGCTTCAGCCTAAGAAATCTTATCCGTGCCCCTGGGGATGTGGCTCACTGTAGAGCACTTACTTAGTGCACAGGTGTGTGTGAGGCCCTGAGTTCACCTCCAGCACTGCAGAGAGAGGGGAGGGGGAGGGGAAGAGGGAGGGAGAGAGGGGGAAGGGGAGGAGGAGAGAGGGAGGGGAGGGGGAGGGGGGGGGGGAAGGGGAGAGAGGGAGGGGGAGGGGGAGAGAGGGGAATCTTATTTATGAAAATCACAGGCTTGATTCACTGAAGACTCCTCCCTCTAAAGCCTAATAGAGAACCATGAAAATGGTGGATTCAGGTTGGTGCACGGCCTCTGACGCTGGTCTGGAGAACAGCAGGAAGGGTATTCGTATGGAAGAAGCCTGAGCCCCCCTCTTCTCAGGACCCTGAGAGGGCACAGCCTGGCCCCGCGGAGCCTCCACTGGTGTGGATCACGGCAGGCCGCCTGACGCCATGAGAGTGGGTGGGCTGCAGGCCGCTCTGCCCAGCCAGTGTGAGTACCCGGAGGAGAGGCCTCGTCCAGCTCCACTCAGCTCAGGAGGTGGCACTGCTAATGAGAGCCCCGTGTTGGTACAGCACTCTACAGTTGATAGAGCTCGTTCTCCGGCCTCCATGACCAGCCTAAGGCCATGTGACCAAGAAGAACACAGCGGAAGCTGATGGCCCCAGTCTCAGAGTGCCAGGGGAGAGACCTGAAGGTGATTTGGTCTCAAGGTGCTCTAGGAGGGACTTGGAGGACCGCTGGTAGGACATCAACGGCGGGAATGGAGTGCCCGCTCCCACGGTGGCCATGCCTGTTTCTGCCACCAGGCAGGAGTCCCAGTTATGTGCTGACGGTCTTGCCAGCCTCTCTCCTAACCCAAGTGGCAGATGACGGCGTCTCACTGGGGTTTCATAACATTTGCAGGGGCCCCCAGACCCCTCCCCTGCACGCACTCCTGGGTCACCCTGAGCCCTTGAGCACGGGCAGAACTGTGAACATGACCTTGAGTTTATCCTGGAGGCCTAACCTTATCCTAACCTTATCCAGGAACCTTTAAAAGAAGGTGAACTGTGGACAGGTGCGCTCCAGCCCGCCTGGGGACACACAGCCGGGAGCTGCGGGAGGCCCTGCAGGGCTGAGGCGGTGCCTGACTGGCAGCCAGCAAGACCCAGAGACTTGGCACAGCCAGAGTGGACTGGACTCTCCCAGTGACCGAAGGGCTTGGAAGAGGCCCCTGAGCCTGCAGGAGACGTCAGCTCGGCTGATACCTTGACTGCAGCCTGGGAGACCCTGGGCGGAGACCCGGACCCTGCTAACCAGGCCTGGACCCCGGCTCACGTGCATGAGTACGTTTGTGTCCACGGAGCTATTGGGCTCATCCCTCAGAAGCAGGAGGGTCAGGGCTTTGCAGACCCCATGCAGACCCTCCTTAGCTCTCGGTGGGCATTGAACCCGCCTGACCCGTGGAGCATCCCGGCTTGGCCACCAGGCGCACCACAGAGCGTGGGCTGTCCCTCGTGGTCTCTAGCTGGTCGGGAGCGAGGGCTGGGCCACCGCACACTCCCTGGAGAAGATGCTAATTCAGAACTCCACGGAGGTTTCTCCTGAATGCACAGCGCTTTCCCACCAAGGTGAAGTCCAACCATCCTGAGTTGGGCTGTCTCTGTTTTTGCAGTTACTTGATATCGGTTTTCTGTTTAGTGTAGAGATATAAGGTTTCCTTAAAATATTCTAAAAATTAAGTTAGTTCAATTTTTAAAATCAGCATGGAGTTTTTTTTTTTTTTTTAAATGGCTCAAATTCTTTGATACTCTTCAAGGGGTGGGCTTTGTGCCCCCCTCCCTGTGAATCTGGGTGGCCTTGTGTCTGCTTCCACCCAGAGTGTGATGAAGGGGACACAAAGTGACCTCCGAGGTTGGGTTGTAAAAGGCGGCACAGCCGCAGCCTGGTGGGTCAGGGAGGCCCGTGCAGGAGAAGCCAGCTTTCACACAGACTGCCACCCTGGGAGGCCACATGGAGCCCTCCAGCCACCGGCCCGCCCAGCTCCTGGCCACCAGGCAGCATCGGCCACCAGCTGTGTGAGGCTTCCACTTGGACTTCCAGCCTGTCAAGCCTTCAGATGGACACAGCCCCGGCCAGCCTCTGACCACAGTGGCCTAGGAGACCCCAAACAAGAAATGCCGGCCACGCCTCTCGTATTCCTGACCACAACGTCCCAGCGAAATAAAACAGTTGCTTTAGCTGTTGCATTTGGGGGTAATTTGCTATGCAGCAGTAGCGGCTGAGCCATTAGCGACACATTCATGCGGTTTGAAAATCAAAGTCTCAGACCGTCTGGGATCGGCTCCGGGTGGCGGTTGCCCTGAGGTCGGGCTTTGATGGGATCCTGCAGCTGGTCCACCCTCTGCACCCGCAGCCCCACCAGCAACACACATTTGCTGAGCACCTACTGCATACCACACGTCTTGGGAAATTTAGGCATCACAAGGGGAGGTCGAGGGATGCAGTTAACCAGTCCCAGCCAGGGTGCACCGCCGGTGCTCAAGCAGTGTGTCGGTGATGACCAGACCCGAGGCAGCCATGCTGGGTGCTTGGTCACTCAACCTGACATGTTAGGCCCTGCATGTCCTGGGAACAAGGTGACGGTTTCTGGCCAGGTGGCACCACATTGCCACACTGTGTCCCCTGCTGAGGGAGGCGAGAAGGGCCTGCACTGAGCAGTCAGCAAGGGTGTGCTATCTGTGGCTCTCGTGATTATTTAATCGCTGGTGTCCTAAAATCCTGCAGAGAACCCATGCCAGGCAGCGTCCTTGGCACCTTAGAGCAACTCAGAGCAGATGGAGGACACACTCGGGATCCCCTTCAGAGACCCGAGGCTCTAGGGCCTGCGTAAGTCGCAGGAGGGGTGCAGGTGGCACCGGGACCCGGCCTTTCTGAGCTCAGGGCCCCAAACCCTTGCCCACCACCCTCGCCTTCGCCTTGGAGAACAGCAAGACCACCCTGAATGGAGGCCCCTTCAGGTGCGGAAACTTCCAGAGCAAAGCCCGGAGGCTGGACTCCGCTTCCCGGAGCCCCGAGGAGGAGCAGGAGCAGGAGCAGGGCTCCAAGGCCAAGCGGCAGCTGGAGGTGGCTGTGGAGCGTGTGGACATGTCCAGCAGGCAGAGTCCGCGTCCCCCTGACTCTTCCCCGTTTCTCTTGAGCGGGTGGAGCCTCCCTTTATGAAGTTTTGTAACGAGCTCTGTGTTTATGCAGACAACGCACACAGATGCCGCGCAGCTCACCACGGGTTACGTCCTGGTAAGTGTGAACTCAAGTCTCAAATGCCTTCAGCCACCGAGCCTGCTGCCCCGGAGCTTAGTAACAGCCCAAGCCCAGGTGACAGGAACAGGATGCTCCTATTGCTAGCCCAGGAGAAGACCCAAGTTGGAAGTATGAAGTACGTTCTGCAGACACACACTGTCACACCATCGAGAAGCCAGAAGACCTCAGTCAGAGCCAGCGTGTGCACATTCGTGAAATACGGGCTTTGTTTTTATTTTTTTTGACAAGGTCAATGTCTTCACTAAACGTTGGCTTCCTTCCGAGGTATTGTAGTTCGCAGAACACTTGGGAGAGCAGAGCTGCCTCCTGGGGTGGACTTAGGAGCTTCTGGAGCCCAGGTGGGCCAATCAGGGGTCTCGGGTACCTCCACTGTGGCAGCCCGAGACACAGGGCCCTGTAGGAAGGGGCTCCAGCATGGGGCTCGGGAGCCCAGGTCCTCAGAGCAGGGGACAATGGGGTCCATACTATATCTCCAAGGCAGTCCCAGACCTGTACTATGTTAGGGACACAAAGGAGCCTTGTCTGTTGGAGGTGGAGGGATCCCTTGAAGAAGGAGGCCCAGAGAGGGTAAGGTACTTGTCCAAGGCCACACAGTGAGAGAGGAGAGTGACCTAGACCCCAGCCCTGGGCTCCTCTGCACTGGCTCATTCACACTTAGCAATAAAAGCTCTATCAGATCTCCAGAGTGGCCTACTGGGAGCATTTCCAGGGGACAGATGGACGTCTTGAGTCCTGGGAAAGGACAGCGGGATTCCACCAGGGTTTCCTCCATTCTTGGGTCACACAGCTAGGCAGTGGCCACATCCGGGTCTCTGCTGCTTCTGAAGGGATGTGGAGGGAGGAGAGGGGATCGGCTTCAGTGGCCCTGGGAAGCCACGAGAGGTGACACGGGGCGTGGGGGGTGGACAGCAGGGGCCTGGGAGGAGCACTGGAAAGGAATTCAGAGGCCCGGGATCCAGCGAGGAAGCTGCCCCCTCCTGAGGGCTGGGACACTCCTCTCATTATTCAGGGGACCCACGTGCGCAGGAAAGGGGAGACGGACACCATGAACTCACCGGGCCTGTCACAGCCGCTGCCTGCTCACTGTTCGCAGGAGAGAGCACGTGCTGGGGGCTGGGCGTGGGGTGCGGGAGGGGAAGCTGCTCCCTGGGCTGTGGCAGGACCAGGAGGCGGGGACCAGGGACAGCACATGCCCGAGGCGCTTGGTACCAGGTCCGAGGGCATCTAGAAATGTGGGCCTTCACCTTGACGGCAGCAGGAGCCAGGGTGGTTCTGAAGGAGGACATGTCAGCGGGTGAGTGTGGGGACAAGGAAGTGGCCCTTTGACGTCCCTGAGCTCCTGAGGGCTCTGTGCCAGGAGAACCGGACGGAGTCAGAGCAGGGGAGACCTGACGGGCACCTCCAGAGCTGCAGCTGCACCAGGTGTCCCCAGCGGATCCCCGCGCTCTCTCCCATGGCCCTGGCCAACCTGCACCCATCCCAGCACCCGCCTGCAGGATGCTGCCCATCAGGGTGGGTGACAGTCACAGTGATACGGGGGCACACTTCACTTTGCAGAGCAGCTCCGGTTCCATCTTGCCTGCAACCGACTCCGCCCTCAGGGGCCCCACTGGTGGCTGCAGTTCTCCAAGGAGGGACACCGAGGCCCGGGGCCACCAGAGGCCACCAGGCTCTCTGCACAGCCTGCTCCTAGGCCCACGCGCCTGCACCAAAGGCCGAGCCCCACTTCTCCGCTACATCCCAACTGTCCCCCAGCCCAGGGAAGGGGGCGATGGGGGGGCCTCCCATCTTGCCACTGTCCCCAGAGCGGCCGGGGCTCCCTCTCCCATCCCTGGTGCAGCCCTGGTGGTCCCCGACGCCAAGCGCAAGAAGCTTCTGGAATTATTGGCACAGGACAGATGCCCAGTTAGTTAGAAAAACATGCGCTTGCTCCCCTGCCCACCCCTCCAGCAGCCACCAGCTTCTAATTCAATTTCCCTTGAAAAACAATGGAGTCAATGAAGGGGAAACGAGATTTTCCGAAACTTCATAAAGTTTTGCAAAATAATTACCCCCCAAACCGGCAGGCCCCCTCCCCCTCCAGTGACCGTCTCTGGGAGGTTCTCACAGACTTGCAGCTCCAGCCCGTCGGCCCCTGTCCCCCTCCCTGGGCAGGAGCCCCCAGGGGCCCTCGCCCTCCCTCCTGGTGCCCCACCTCCTCCAGGAGGAGAGGCGAGAGGAGGGGTCTGGCTGTCCCCAAGACACGGTCAAGGCAGGGGCCAAACCCCATTGGAAGCCCTGAGCTGGCTCCAGACTCACCACCAGGTCCTGGCTGCTCCCGCCAGGGGGGCTGAGCACCCAAGAGGGGAGGGTCTCCTGGGGTCTCGGCAGACATAAGGGAAGAAGAGCCAGGATGCGACCCCAGGCTCCAGGCTCTTGGAACCAGGTCCCTCTCCTGGACACTCGGGGTGGGAGGCCTCCTGGGAGCGTGGCCTCTGGTTGGTGGCCCCCCTTGGTTGGGCAAAGGGGTCCTTCCTGCCTTCTGTATTTCCCCAGGGGCGCTGCTTGGCCCCTGCTCCGTACAACACTGGCCCCACTCTCCGCCCGCTGCCACCCAGATGCCATGCTGTTTCTACCCAGAAGATGAACCGCTTCGCACCAAGGTGTGGCTGATGGACGCCCCCACCCCAGCTGTTCCAGAGACTATTTCTGGGTGCGACTGGCGTGGGAAAGCCACTCTGGAGACTCGTCAGGGGCTACCACAAGAGACTCAGAAGTGGAAGCACCTGCCTGGGCCCTGCCTGTGTAGCAGCTTCAAGCAGGTGAGGAAGAGGGATCCGGGACCCCGGGGACACTGGAGGTGCCCTTCCTGCTGCCCGCCCCAACCCCACTTCTTGCCTGAAGGACCTAGAGTACCCGACTATAGGACCGGGCTCCAAGATGCCACCATGACCCTCGCCTTCTGATATTCAGCCCCTGGTGAAGTCCCCACCCACAATGGGCAGGGCTGACCTAAGTCCCCAACAGAATGTTACAGAAATGATGGGCTGTGGCTTCCCAGGCAAGGTCATTGAAGACATCCTGCCTTTCTGCTTTATTTTCTCTGGGATCCATCACTTTTGAGAGAGCCTGGCCGCCATGTTTTAAGGACATCCTTGAACCCACCGAGAGGCCCACACAGAAGGCCCATCGACAGTCCACATCAGCTCTCTGCCCGGGGCAAGCCCCTTGGAGTGGGTCCCAAGTCAGGCCCAGTCCCACCTTCAGAAGAATGCCATCCACGCTGACCCACGGCCAGAGATGCCCAGCGGAGCTGTTTGGAATTCCAGGCCCATAGACATGGCAGCACAGTGCATGTTGATTGTTCAGGCCACTAAGTTTTGGGGTGACTGGCCAGCAAAAGGTGACCTGCTGGCCAGTCCCTCTCCCACCAGAACCTCCGCAGCCTCCCTCTCAGCTGTTTGTCTGAGGTTGACTCAGGAACGTTACCTGAAACTTGGAAATGGGCAGAAAGGACAGCAGGACTTTCCCACGTCAGATTGGAGTGTTGTCAACAGGCCCGGCGTGTGAGGACAAGGGACACCGCGTTCATTCTCTGGTGTTCGTCACTCCATTCCTCTAGTCACCTTACTGGTCTCCTTGTCCACGAGTTAGGCAAATGGTGACGTGTGTGTGATCTACATGTGGATGAGAGGGATGCGCTTTAAATTTCTTTTTTTTTTTTGACTCCACGTAGACAGCCTACATGCCCCCAGGAATGGGGGACTCACTACCTATCAAAGAACCTGGGAGTCAGGCTGACGCCTAGAACAGGCTGGAAGCTCAAGTTAACTTGCTCCTAGGCCCGGTTCTCCAGGAGAGGAGCCGGACCCTTCCTTCCCACAGAGTCCTTCAGATTTGGTGATTGCCCAGAGCCCTGCAGTGTGGAGTGTTTATTTTATATTCAGAAAAAAGAAGTTATTAAATAATAAGAAGATTCTGATCTGAATTTTACTTCTGTGAGTCGAAGACTGGATTTGGGGAGGAGTCATTTACCAGTAGTGCTCTGGGCCCAGGCCTGTACAGCCGTGACGGGCAGGGGTCTACTCTGACCCTCTACCCAATCCCTTCTCAGCAGAATGTGGGGGAGCACTTCAGCCCCTGCCCCGGGTTTCTTCTCAGGTTTTTCTGGATCTCGGGATGAAGGCCAAATCCTGACCACAACGCCCTTGAGGACCCCGCCCTGTCCCTCCTTCCTTTTTGTCTCCCCCAGGCCCAGGCCCCTTCCACTCTGGGGCTCAGCATGGTCCTGGCACTGCTGGGCCCCTGCGCGCACCCTCCTCGTCCCTGGGAGCACTGCCTCCCCGGTCCCCGCCCCGCAGGCCTCTCCGGGCACCCAGCTTCCCTCTGGCGACTTGAGGGGGCACCTTGATCTTTGCTGGTGGATGACCTGGGGGAGCTGCTCTCCTGCGGATTCGGGTCACCAGAGCTCGAGCTCCATTCCTGGCCAGGCCCCATGTGTCCCCGGGCCTCACACTGGATGTGGCAAGGGATGAAGGTCCGTGGTAAGTGGGGGGGGCAGCACCCACGTCCCAGGCCTGGGCTCAGGGCCACGGCAGCCGGCGACCCCAGGTGCAGCGGGGCCGAGATTTCTGGTCACCCGCATGGCCTGTCTTGCCCCCTGTGCATGCCCACGTCTGGGACTCAGGACACAGGGACAATGACCACATTCTCCCTCGGGTTTCTCTGAAGAAGGCAGCCGACCGGCAGAAGAGCCCTCATGAGGCCCGTCCACACCCGGCTCAGAGGGTCTCCCTGATGACCAGAGATCACAACGGAGGTCAAAGATGGAAACCCAGGTGGACGTCCTCCTGCCACCTGCTGCTGGGCGTCCTAGTGTGCCATCTGCACACGTGACACAGCCGTGGTGAGCACAGCCTGCACTAACGTGGGCTGACGCTGGGCCAGGCTGGTTTGCGTGTTAAGCACCACCTTCACCCCATAAGGCACACACTCCATTTTCACCCCATTCATGGATGGGGAACAGAAACACAGAGAGGCTGAGAACATCACCCAAAGTCACACAGTCCATAAGTGGCAGAGCTGGGATCTGAAGCCAGGCAGCAGACTTGAACATTTACCTGGATGGCCACACTTGGGGTCTATGGCACAGCTATGCCGCGTGCAGTTTGGACTTGACTCTCCTCCTGCCTAGCTCTGTGACCTGGGGCAACTTGTAGACCTCTCTGTCCCTCTGCTGTTTCCTCTGTAACCAAAGACCATGGAAGTTCAGGTTTGGGATGGTGGAGGAGGTCGGTGGAAAGGGCTCAGAGCAGAGCTTGAAGCCAGCAGGCTCAGGACATTTTGAAGTCACGTTTGACCCCACTCCAGGCCTTTGGGCTCCCTGCAGCAAGCCTGGGCCCAGCGCTGGGGATCCCTCACCTCCTCCTCTTCCCTGGGGCCCAGGCCTGAGCCCGGGCTTCCAGAATCCAGAGTCGTCCTCGTCACTCCCAATATGCCAGCAGCGGCCACCGGCCACCGTGGGGCAGCAACCTGGGTGCAGTGATCCCCCCACCCCTGGCTCCAGCCTTCAGAGCTCTGGCGCTGACGGCCCTGGGCACAGAGCTGCCCGGCCACCTTGGGCAGCTGCCCACCCACTGGGCTCAGGGCCGAGCCGGGGCAGCCCGCTGTGGACAAGACGGGCCTCAGCAGCAGCTTCTCTGGTCCCTGCATGACATGCGCCAGACCCTTAGCAAACCAGGCCGCTGGACCCTCCCTCAGCCCGGCAGGGAAGGCGACGCCAGCCACAGATGGGCAGTGCAGGCCAGGCCCGCTGCGGCCGGTGAGCGCGGAGCCCGACTCCAGCCGCGGCCTCTCTGACAGGCACCCGCGTAATCCCCATGCACAGGGCCTGCTAGGGGCTCTCGACCACGGTTAGAAGCCCCTGGGGTGGGTTGAAATGGTGCCCACCTAGGACCAAGTAAGTGCATGTGTTAAAAGGTCCCCAGAGCAGCCAGGGTCACTGATGAAACCAAGTCTCTCATTTTATGGCTGGAATGACAGAGGCCCAGAGAAGGCCAGCAGGTTGTCCGTGGCCACACAGCACTAGATTCTTCCCATCTCCTGACACTTTTCAAGGTTGATGTTGACTGAGCTGGTTGTACGTGGGGGAGCGACACGCTGCCTACCCTTGCCCTGGTCCCTCGTCGCACCAGGCCACTCTGTCCAGCCCTCGCCCTGTTTCTTCTCCACGTTGGCCGACACCTCGGCATTCAGCGGCAGAGGGGAAACCCGCTTGAGGAAGCAGCGGCAGGTTGGGGTCTCCTTGCCTGCGTCTGCGGGTTCCTCTTCCTCTTACTTCTCGTGAGATGGACCAGAGAGGAGACCAGTGTTCCTCGTGGACCAAGGGAGGCCGAACTTCTGCAAAGACACCGTGTGGCGGCTGTGCCCTGGGGCCCTGGCCTGGCTGTGGGGGAGGCGGGCGCACAGGGGGCAGGCACGGCAGGTGCTGGCCGCTGGCCTCACCTCCACCCATGGACCCCCATAAGATGGCCACGGCCACGCAGCCCTGGCAGGCTCAGGGGACGGTGGGGGCACTGCCCGTGGCCACCTCTCCCCGCAGGTTCCAGCCAGCCTCCGCCTCTGTCCCGGCCCCGGTGGCTCCTGTACCCCCACCACGAGCAACGCCGGTCCCCGGGTTTGAATCCATCTGGTGCTCTACAGCCAGCCCATGGCCTTCAGCTCCTCGGCCTTGACCCTGGCCACAGACGAGCCCGATTCCTGCCCCACAGCCCCTGCCGCACACCGAGCCCGGCCCTGCCCAGGCAGAGCCAGAAACCACCGCCAGAGGCCTGGAGCTGGAGGGGCGTGGAAGAGCCCACCCTGGGCTGACCAGGAGGCCAGGGCGGTCACCCCCTGGGGAAGTCGGCTGCGTGGTTCAAGGGCGGCCCAGACGACACCACAGAGCCCTGGGCGGCCCTCAGGAGACGCGGCTGGGCCAGGCCCGGGAACCCCTCCTCACCCGACCAGGGAGGACCTGCCCGGCGCTGGGCACTGGTGATGCCGGAGCACGTGGGGGGCACGTCTCCACACCGCTGCAGCTCTGCCTGTCCAGCCCCACCCAACACACACACCCTTGGCCACCCAGCCCCAGAGCCAACTGCGCGTCCATCCAGGGGAGGGAGTGAACACCGCAGCCTGTCAGAGCCCCGTCTGCTGGTCTGTGCAGTGGGGGTCGGGGAGCTGGGGCTCAGTGTGGACGGTGTTGGGGACGCGCCCTGCCCAGAGCCCAGGAAGTGCCCCAGCGCTCGCCAGCCCTCCCTGGGTGCCTGGGCTCCAGGGGAGACGGCAGATTCTGTAGCGTCCTTCTCCCTTCTCGGTGGGGAAACTGAGGCTGAGCCCCAGGCCAACAGAACGGGAGGAGTCGGCCTCGTTCCCCCCCAGGCCTTCACAGAAGCCATCAGAACCGTCATCATCCCGGGCAGGTGGTGGGTCCTCTCTGACCCCCAGCTTCCCCTTCTGTAAGAGGAGGGGCCAGGCCCCGGCCACAGCCCGCCCAGCCCCGGCCTCGGGAAGCCTCGTGTGTGCGGCTGAAGAGGTCAGGAGCCGCTGGGCAGGAGGTGACGGGACGGCAGCCCCGAGAAACCTCTGGAATGTGGGCTTCAAAGTTTGGGGCCCACTTTGGCGACCAGGGCCTCCGTCTCCTCCTTTCCTTTCATGACACTTCACCAACTGTTTCTTCCTTAATCCAAACCATTGTTTCTCCAGCGTGAAATTTAAATCAAAGCCACATGGTCCCCCCACGCAGGCCCGTGCCAAGGGGAAGCACACCCGAGCTGTGCCCGTTGGCAGCATCCTGGTCTCCCGTGGGGCTGCCAGGCCAGCGCTGTGTGGCAATGGGAAGGTGGGGGCTTCACAGTGTCCCCACTGGGGTAGACTCAGAGGTCCCCAGGCCTAGACATGCTCCGCCTGGAGCAAGGGTGAGTTGAAGGTCCTCCATCAAGAGGGCAGAAGCCCCTCCCTTTGTCCCAGGCCTCATCCTCTCATCTGTGGGGGATGGAAGTGCCCAGGCCTCTGAGGTCCATCGGGCAGGGGCTCACAAGACTGGCTGGCCACTTGCAACCTGGAAGCCATGTGGCCTGGTGGGTAAGGTAGCTGGACATGAGTCTTGCTTGTGTCTGATTCTCACGCACTGTGCTGTGTGACCTTGTACAATTCTTTAACTTCTCTGAGCTTCACTTTCCTTGTTGATAAAATGAGGCTCTTGCCAGAACTCTTTCTTGATGCTATGGGGGAAATGAGGGGGTAGGACTGGTCAGTGCCAAGGTAGGTGGGGGTGCTAAGTGCCTGGCACTGTGTGGAGCTCAGAAGTAGTTGGTGACTCCTGCACAGATGTGCAGGGCTTCAGAGAGGAGGGGGAGATGCCAGGCAGGGTCTTGAGAGAGGAGAGCCAGGGGCACAGGGAGATCTGGGCATAGGTGTGGCCCCGACCACGTGATGAGGCCTCCTGAGACGAGGAGGCTGGGGCTTTGGAAGGACAGGCTGCTCTTCTGAGGGGAGGGGTCTCGGGGGCCCAGGACTTGGAACCCAGGCGCCCGGGGTGCAGCGCACACCCCACCCCTCCGCGCCAGGAGTGAACCTCCCGGGCTCCGGGGGTCGGTCTCGCCAAGGTCTGGGCACTGCGAAGCCTCGCGCGCTTCCCCACAGGCCCCGTGTCCCGGCGAACACAGACGTGGTGCAAATGCACAAGTGCCAGGGCCGCGTGCAAAGCACGGACCAGAGGCGCCCCTGCAGAGGGGAGTGTGTGCTCGCCAGGCCCGGCCGCCTGTAGGAAGGCGCAGGAAGGCGCAGGCAGCACGTGTGCGCATGCGCACCGCTGTGGGACCGAGGGCCGCCGCAGCCTCCATCTTCTGCGCACACCTGCGAACGCCCCGTGCAGACTGGGTACCTGCGAAGCCCAGGGGCACTGCCTCCCTGGGGCCTGCGTTCCAGCGAGGAGGGACCCGGCGCTTGCCGGGATCGTGACCCTCTGGTGACCCTCTGGTCGACGTCCCAGAGCTGGCGAGCAGCAGCCCATGGACAGGGCTTGGGACGGTCACTGCTTCCCTGCAGTGGCCGCTGCTCCCTGCCCAGGAGGAAGCCCACGAGATGCTCCCCTTCGGGAGGGTTGGGCCTGCCCCTGGCCCAGCTGCTGTCCCTGGAAGCGGTTCTCTCCACCCTCCTGCTGCTGTCCAATGTGCAGAAGGTGGTCTGCAGTCTCTGGCAGGACAGTGGCCTTGCGAGGGACAGGATGGGCCCTGTGTGCAGGACCCCGACCCTCAGGGGTCAGAGGCAGGAGGGAAGTGGCTCTTACTCAACCCAGGGCCCTGCAAACCATTCTGTCAACAAGTCCTGCTGACCCCGGTCCTGCTGGACACTGTGCTGGGCCTAGGGTTCCACGCTGCCTCCCAAGTTACCTGGAGGAGTGCCACCAGGTGCAGTGAGGCCCAGGAGGACCAGGCTCCCAAGTGCTGGGCGACGGCAGGCCAGCCCAGGGGCCCAGGCGCAGGTGCTCCCCTGGGCAGGCTGATGGCCTCTGCCCTACCCAGCCCTGCAGCTGCAGAGGCCTGAGCTGGCCAGCCACCAAAGGAGAGCGCCAAGGGACCCCAGCTCGAGAGCTGTCCACTGCAGGGCCAGTCACCTCGCTGGCTGCTTGGGAGGCCACCACTCTGTCCTACACATGAATCAGAGACGTGGTCACCATCCCCCCAGCCATGCATCCTATCCTGAGGCCATTTGGTCTGGTTCGTGGGGGAGGGGAGGGCCGCAGGGTGAGCCTAGCCTCCCTGGGGCTCAGTCTCTCCCAGAGCTTCTCGATCCCTCAGATGCACCTGGGAAGCCTTATGGGATGCAGGTTCCGGGGTCCCTTCCTGATCGCACAAATCATAATCTGGGACCTGGAGCCCAGAACCTGCATTAAAAATAATAATAATAACTTGAGACTCGAATGCGACGGCAGCACTGAGAACCCCAGTCTGGGGCCCTGGCCACTACTGTTGTCTTCCTGACCCCCCTCAGCAAGATGCTGTGTCTTGACCCCACATGCCCACCCCAGAGTTTCTAGAAGGTGTTGTTGGATGGTGGCGCAGGGGGCTGGTCAGGGTGTAGAGGGCAGGGGCTGGTCTTGCAGGCATCCCTGACATTCTTTGCTGGCCCTCTGCAAAATGCCTGAGCCCTCCAGGAACCCGGATGGGACCACCTGGGCACGGAGGGCATGCACCCACACGGAGGGCCCTGGCCTCCAGCCGGGGTGGAGGAGGCACTGGAGGGCGGGAGGACCTCTGGCCCGCTGCGGGCGAGGAGCAGGTGCCCGCTCCCTTCTTAGAATCCCTGCCAGGCCGGGCGGAGCTCGCTTACTGGAAGGGGAGATGGGGGGCTCTCTTCTCACCGGGCCTGCTGGGGGGCAGCAAGTGCGTCAGCAGCCCACTCCGGGCCTGTCTCCGGAAACGCCGCCCAGGGCTCAGTCACGAACCCCGCCAGGCTGGGGGGGCAGCCAGGGCGGAGGGAGGTCAGGTGACCTGCGAGGAAGCTCGGCTGGGGCTGGAGGCAGCAGGGGGTGCAGGGTGAGCTCCACTTCCCCCTTCCTGGGCTTTGCCTCCTCACCCCATCTGCCCCGCTGGATGTCCCTCCAGCTGTCCAGCTGTCCCTCTGCTGCCCCCAGGCTCAGCGTGGGCTCTAGGTCCCCACTGGGTCCCCTGAGGCCTGAGCTGCCCTCAGTGCCAGCCGCAGGGGCCCCGGGTCGGGGTCTGGGTGGGGTGCAGGCCCTGGGCTGTGGGGAGAGCCCGGCTCCCCCGCCCTCCCCTACCCCCCACTTCTCGCTGGAGCTATTTAAAGCCGGCGGTGGCCGTGGGAAACTTCTTCAGATGTGTGGTTTCGCCTTCTCCGGCGCAGGACGCGTCTGCGAGCGAGTCTGGTGACTCATTCAGAGCGAGAAAAGCCTTTTTGTTGTTTGACGCTCGCTCCAGGCGCTGCGGCCTGAGAACCCAGCCCGCGGGGCCTTCCCTCTCTGGGACTCCTGGAAGGCCTCGGGAGTGCCCACTGCCACCCAGGGAGCCCAGGGCTGAACCACCCTGCTCAGGCGGGGGCTCCCAGCTGGGAGGCACCCATCCTCAGCTCTTGTCCTAGCACTGGCTCCTCTAGGACCTCCTTCTCCCCTGAGTGACCCTCTCCCCAGAGTGACCCTCCCTGACCCTCCATCTCTTCTTCTGGGAAGTGGGCAGTTGGGGGTGGAAGTAACGTATGCTCTATCTCATGGCAAATGAGTGGCAAAGCAGTGAACCCAGGCCACGTGGTACCAGAGCCTGTGCCCCTAGCCACGAGGCCAGCTTCCCTGGAGCTTGGCAACCGTGGTGACAAAGGTCTGGGCTCTGAGGGGGGAAACGCAGCCCCGGGGCACACAGTCTCCCCACGTGCTGTTCCCTCCGCCCGCAGCAGGCCCCTCCCCCACTGCCTGCCTGTGTCCACCTGAGCCTCACCCCCAGCCTGGTGGCTTCCTCTGAAACTGTCCGGATCTGGCTGTGTGGGGTGTTCTGCGGCACCCGGCACCTCTCCGCGGGTTTCCCACAGGGCGCCAGGTCTCGCTTTTCTGTCATGTCCCCACCTGGTCCCTCGTCACCAAGCTCCAGGGAAAGCACAGGACCGGGCACACAGTAGGACCTCAAGGTTTGTGAGCTGGACAAGCACCACCAGCGCCGGGGCCAGAGGCAGGGGAAGCGCCGGGAAGCCATTTCCAGGGACGGTTTCTAGAATGCCACAGCCTGACCCCTTGGTCACCTCTGGGGAAAACAGGCCCTGGGCTCTGTGTGACAGGAGTGTCCCAGAGGGCTGTGCAGGGGACCCCCTCCAGGACGGCAGGCGCCCCCTCTGTGGACTCGGATCCTGGGCTATTTTTAAGGCCCGTGAGCACCAAGGAAGCAGGAGGGTCCCCATGCCCTGCCACTCCCTGCCACCTTGGGAGTGGCTGAGGTCCCTGAGACGGGAGTCCTCAGCTCAGCTCTTGGGGTCAGGAGGTCACCAGGGCCGGGGCAGGATGCTGCTCATCACAGGGTGGCAGGGGTCAGGGAAGAGGTGGACCCACGGGTCTTGGTCCCTTGAGTGTGGACTTGGGTGGAGGTGGGCTGCCCTGGTCAAGGGGGCAGCAGACACCGTCTGGAGGTGTCCCGTGAGTCCTGCCGTCAACGCAGAAAGCTGTGGCCTTGGACTGGTCCAGGCAGCTGGGCGGCCACAGCCCGTGCAGAGCAAGCGGCCTCTCTGACCCTGGAGCAGCTGTGCCCTCAGAGGGCCACACTCTCTGCCCATGCGAGGCCCACAGCAGCTGCCACACCAAAAGGCACAGTGCAGTGGCCGGTGGGTGGACCACAGGCCCAGGCAAGGGGAGGACAGATGGCCAAGGAAGAGCCATGCCAGGGGCCAGGCCAGCCAGAGGGCAGCTGGCCTGCAGGCAGTGTTCCCTTGAAGGCAAATCCTCCAAGTCCCCAGGATGCGTGGGCCTTGGGCACCTGCCACCTGCCACCGAGACCTGACCCTTCCTGGGGCTTCTCCAGCTGCCTTGGAGGCCAGGTGAGGGGCAGCATGGGCTGGAGGGTCCTGAGGCATTCCCATGAGGGGCGCCCCAGGCAGAGGGGCAGGATGACAGCAGAGGGTCCTGCCCCACAGGCCCTGAGCGCGGAGGGCCATCCTATCCACGCTGTCCTTCAGTGCCCGGGGAATCCCTCAGGCCTCTTCCTCCCTCCAGGCCCCAACCCTCCTGCACGTGGGGTCAGTGGCATCCCAGGCCCACAGACAGGGACAGAGTCCCAGGAAGGCTGGTGACTCAGGAGGTGCTGGAGTTGGCTGAAGCCTGGCTGCAGGCCGGTCCCCCACCGTGAGTCCTGTCTCCTGGCTGCGAGCTGCAGAGAGAAATGGCCCATGGTGGACGGAGACAGTGGCTCTGGGGAGGTCCCCTCCTCTCGGGCCTCAGTTTCCTCAGCTGTGACACATGGCCTCCATGTCGCCCAGGACAATCCCAGCTAGCGGGCCCTCTTCTGTAAGAGGGGACCAGGTGGCCGGGACAAGTGCTCCCCTCAGGCCTCGTGATTCTGCATCCACCCACCCAACCCCGTGGCCGACAGAGGTGCAGAGGTGCCGGGTGACTTGGCCAAGGTCCTGCAATGACATGGCGAGGGTGGAGAGGGGATCTTCGCTGGATAGGGGACCAGGGACCTGGGGGCTCACGTGCCGCGGGGACGGGTGGAAGCCTGTGCCGTGGACCTGCCCTCACTCCCAGCCATCTTTTTGCCAAAATAGACACAGGAAGAGCCACCTTGACCCGAGCCACCGCTGCCAGCTCAAAGCTGAAAGCCACAGATTCACCAAACGCTCAGGCCCGGCCTGGCCTCGGGACCCTGGGCTGGAGGCCCAGCTGCCCGTGACCCCGGGTGGGTCCCTGCAGGCCAGTCTGGCTCCAGGAGAGGGGAACCCCACCCCACTAACCACCCCTGGACTTCTGCATGTGACAGAGTGTCTGACCTGTGGCCCTGGCCAGATTCTAGTCCAGCCCAGACAAAAAAAATTCCCTGTGGTTTGGAATTGGCCTTCGCCATCACTTCCTGTGCCCTACAAGGGGTGAGAGCCAGACGGGGGCCAGAAAGGGACTGGCCCTGCCCCCCAAGGGGGGACCCTGGCTAGGGAGTCTGTCCACTGGGGGTCCAGTCCTGGCCAGGACATGGACTGTGTGACATTTGGCAAATTCCTCTCCTCTCTCATCCCCTGGAATGAGTGGTACTGAAGGACACTTCCCAGTCTACTGGGTTTTACATGCCTTGCTCTCCTGTAGGACCAGAAGGGACACGAGAGGCAGAGGCAGGGGACTGTTAGGGAAGGGTTGGGGCTTTGAACCAGACAGATCTAAGTCAAATTCTAGCTCCGCCACTTTCTTGCTGTGTGCCTTGAGCAAGTGACTTTACCTCTCTGAGCCTCCCTCTCTTTGACGATAATACTAATAATCACATGATCTGAGCCCTTCCTTCCTGCCATACGGTGTTCCGAGTGATCTCTCTCAGACACTGCCGCTCTGGGGTAGGGGCTCGAAGGATCCGTGTGGGGGATGAGGGAATGAGGTTTGGAGTGGCTCCTACCGTGGCACCCAGACTCCGTGGCACCCAGACTCCGTGGCCTGTAGTGCCTGCTGTACAAAGCCATCGCCCTGGAGACCAAATGAGGTAATTGGAGAAAAGTCCCTCCTCGGCACACGGATGCTGCTGTCCTATTATTACAGTTACTCGCTTTCCTCCAACTGAGGCTCTCGGCCTGGGGCTGCCCCGGGGAACCTGCCCAGCCCTCTGCGGGCCACATGGCGAGTGTGGGTGACACTGGGGTGGAGGGGCACCCTCGCCGAGGAGGCCACGTCCCAGGCCACGCAGTGCAGCACCCAGGCCCGGCCCCTCTCACGCCCCTCTGTGTCCTTTCCCCTGTGCCAGCCACCTCCTGCCACTGGGAAGCACGCACTGGGGACTGCGGGACAGGCTCCTGTTTGTCACCCCTGCGGTGGGCTTTATCCTTGGGGGGAGAAGCTGTCACCTCCAGGCCTTCTCTGGTGTCTTCTGCCGGCACCAGCAGGTCCCCCAGACCCACCAGCCGTCCTTTTGGATCAGGTTACGCAGAGTTCCCTGGGGGGTGAGCACTGGGACACCTCAACAAGAGGGAGGGGTGCCCCAGGGGACAAAGTGGACAAAGGGCCAGCGCAGGCCACCAGGGGCCTCAGGATGAGGGAGGCACCAGGGGGGCTTCTCGGAGGCCTCCGGGCTCCGTGGACCTTGAAAGGTGGGCGGGGAAATCTTTTTCCCCTCCCTTCTCCCAGGGCCCCGCCCCCTGGCCTGCTGGCTCCTCCCCCTTTGTTTGTTCCATGAGCATTTATGGGGCACCTGCCAGGTACCTGGTGCTGCCGCGTACCTGGTGCTGCCGCGCACCTGAGGACACCAGCCCCTCACTGACCTGTTCCCCATGCCCCCCGGCCAGGGCTGGGGGTCTTCAGCTGTGGAGCGGCTTTGGCTTTCGGTGGAGAATCCCACCCAAGAGAGCCGCCACCAGGAGGGAGACCGAGGCCAGAGGCTGGGCTTCCTGGATACACGACAGGGAGGGGCGAGGTTCTCAGGCCCAGCCTCCCTCCTGACTGTACGCCCTGTCCCCAGGCGTCTCCCGTGACCTGGGGGCCACATCTCCTCCCTGGGAGCTCCAGGAAGAAAAATGCCCTCAGAGAAGAGGTCCCCCAGAGCCCCAGAGCACACAACTGACCAAACACGCCCCGTGTCCACCCATCTGACTCTCAGAAGCCATTCCGTGACAGGCGCTATGATTCTTACTCTCCAGGTAGGGAAGGCAAAGCTCAGAGAGGTCTAGTGACACCCCCACAGCCACACAGCCAGGAACCCAGATCTGCCCCCCTGTCTGGGCCTCTAGACCACAAAGCCCCATCCTCCCCAGCACACTCTCCCTCCCCCATGCCTCAGGGCACTTGGAGGCCACCTGGCTGGGAGCAGGGAGGAGGACCTGTCACTCACACCCCTGTGGGCACTCAGGAAATGCCTGTTGGCAGGTGGATCTTTTTCATCAGAACAAAATGGTAGCAGGTAAAATAAGAAGCGGATGAGACACACCCAGGTGCTAATGTTCCAGTGAAGAAGTCAAGGAATGAATTTCCTTTTTCTTTTCTGTGATCATCTATATTTTCTGCTTGGAGCTCAGAGGTCTGGGGAGGGGTGGTCTGGGGCGGCTGTGGTTGGCAGTGCAGGCTCCTGGTAGAGGTGGCCCTTCAGGGGACAAAGAATAGTGGCTCTGGATGCCTCCCCAGGTCTGGGATCAGGGTCAGAGGACACCATTCTCAGCATCTTGGAATATAGGTAAACTAGAAGGGGGAGACAGTGGCTTTGGGGACAAGTGGTCAGGGATGAGGACTGTGAGGGATCAGGCAGCCCTGGGGACCCAGCTGCCTATGAACCTAGAGTATTCCCTGGGGCAAACCATTGCTCCTCTGAGCCTCAGTTTCCCCATCTGTGAAATGGGGCCCTGGAAGGCTGTTAGGACTCCATGAGACCCCCTATGCAGAGCAGCCCAGCAGAGCCCAGCAGGCCTACGTGCCCAGACGATGCCAGCTCGGGTGGTCATTCTTTCCATCCAGTCCCCGGAGGTCTCCGGGGTCTCTGCTGTCAGGTCAGAGTCTGAAGTCCTGGGGGCGCGGTGTTTGGGGCAGGGTCATACCCCGCTACCCCGCCACACCCAGTGCCACTTCCAGGCTGGCCGTGCCCGTGTGGAAGGCGTGGGACTGCGATGGTCCAAGAGACCTGGGTTGCGTCAGTCCCCGTGCGTGGGTTCTCACACCTTCCAGGGCCAGGGCCTCCTCTCCCCGTCTTCCCGCCAGCCCCGCCCGGCCGGGACCGTAGAAGCAGGAGGACCAGCAGAGTTCTCCTTCTCACTCTCCATCTGAGTCAGCGCCACAGCCACGGAGGTGACTCAAAGGAGACAGAGCCCCGGGCCACACCCCACCCATGGTGGCAAGGGAGCTCGCCCCAGGGCCAGGTTTCCCAGGGTCTCCCTGCCCACCTGAGCCTCTCAGGCTCCCAGGAAAAAGAGGCCCGGGGCTGGAAGGATGGAGGAGGGGAAGAAAGAGTGAGGGACCGGGCACCCGCCGCGGCCTCGCGTGCCTGGCCAGGACCTGGCAGGGAATCAGAGGGTCCGGGAGATACTCTGGCAGGTTCCAAAGTCAGATGGAACCTGGGGTCTCCCCACTGGGGCCCCAGCCATGAGCTCGGGCGCAGAGAGGCGAGGGATGGGGGGCCGCCTCCTTCACTTCTGCTCTGTCCCTCCCTGTCCGGCAAGCACATGTGAAGCGCTCGCCCTGTGCCAAGCCAGGGACTGGCTCCAGGGCTCCAGATGAATCAGGCCTGCTCCCCGGGGGCTCGGCCTGTGGGAGGAGACAGACACAGAGACAAATAATTAAAGACATGAATGAAGCCTTTGAGATAAAAATACACCCGCGGTGGATACAGAGGCTCCAAGATGATAAACTCAGTGTTTTTTGTGACCTGAACCAGGACAGAAGGGGCGCTCACAACTGGGCAGTGGAGATGGGGCTATGTAACCCCGAGGGACGCTGGAGGCTCTGTCCCTGATGGCCCCGATTGCCCTTCGGTCACCACCCTCTATAAAACAGTGACGGGCGGAGGCTCTGCCAAGCTGCAGGAAGGGGTTCCCGGGGCGCCCAGCCTAGACCTTGACCTGCAGCCAACTTCGTCACCACCTCCAGCAAGTGTCTCCTCTGAGCCTCTGTTTCCTCATCTGCCAAATGGGCGTGCGCATCGGAAGTTGATGACAACTGCTGATACCGGCTGGTGTCCCCAGGGGCCTTGCACCCAGATCTCTGCAGGCCTCACCTGGCCGCCTTAGCACCCGCCCTGGGAGGTACGTACTATTAACAGAAGAAACCGCTCGTCCAGAGGAGGAAGGCCGGTGGTTGGTAAGTAGAAAAGAAATATTTAAAGCAGGAAGTCTCACGCTATGTGAAATAGGCATTTTATTGAACATAAACACAGCTTATTGGATGTTATTGGAAAGTCACGCGTGCGCTTCTATTAAATGATCTCTTGGCTCAGGCCCAAGGCCGCCTCGGTGACCAGGGCCTCCGGCGGAAGTCCTGCCCTGTTTTTCTTGCATTAAACAAACCAAAGCAGCGGCGTGTATGGTTCCCGTTTGGTTCCTGCAGGGTGAGTAACACCTTAGAGAGGCTCGCCAGACAACCCGAGTTCCAGCCCTCACCCCCAGATTTTCAAGAACTCCCCTGGTTTCAGCCCTTACCTGATTCAGCATGAATTTCAGTTGGGTTGAGTGATTTGTTTGTTCTCTGGTTTTGTGATCCAGGACTGGGGCTGGAACCCAGGGCCAACGCTCTGCCACTGAGCTACTTCCCCACACCGGAGCAGTGTAACTACACAGGTGTCCCTTATCCATGGTGGGGCGTCCCCACGGGATGCCGGAACCCCAGACAACACCTAACCCAACGGACACCGCGTTTTCCCCCTAGGCCCCACGGCCTCGCCACAAGCCTCAGAACTCGACGCGTCCTTCGGTGCCTCGGGTCCCAGCCTCCGAATCACTGCCTTTGCACCTTGGGGACATTAGTGAGTAGAGGAAGGGTCCTTGGACACAGGCGCTGTGGTACTGAGGTGGCCACCGAGAACCACATGTGTCCAGCCTGGAGACACTGGACAAAGGGATGATTCACGTCCCGGGCAGGATGGAGTAGCACCGTGAGGTGTAAAAACCGTCCCCAGAAAGGTGCGCAACGGAAAACTCACCGATTGTTTCTGGAATTTTCCATCTAATACTTTCAGACCACAGTTTACCCAGAGTAACTGAAACCATGAAAAGTGAGATGAAGGACAAGGAAGGCCGGCTCCGTTGTCACCCCTACCCCGCCTACCCCGCCCCCTGTCTCGCTCACATCTGATCCTGAACTTTTTATTTCTTTTCTTTTTTTTTTGACACCCCACCTTTCCTTGGGGACCTTCCTAAGGCCCCTTTTCAGTTTTCAGAGACACAACAGCTCTTTCCTGGCCTCATTCTCGTCCTGGGTTCAGCAGTGACCACCAGTGGCCCGGGCCTGCAGGAGCAGGGGCTCCGGGCGGTGACCTTCATACCTGCAGGAACCTTCTCCACCTGCCTTCCCCAGGCTCATGGGGAGCCACTGAACCGAGGTCCAGGACAGGCTTCTACTATTCCGTCCCCACTTGACAGGTAAGGACACCGAGGTACGTGACGTCACTTCCCTGAAGCCCCCACTCTTGGCAGACCTAGAACAGGGCCCCTGAGGCCCCTGTGGCCCCTGAGGCCCCTGCGGCCCCTGCTCCTTACCCCTGCTCTCTGCTGCCCCCTGCCTTTGTGTCCTGGGGTCCCTGAGCCTTCCGGCTTCCCTGCTGGAAGGACCAGAGTGGGGGACATTTACACATGGTCAGCACCACCACTGGGCCAGAAGGAGATGACGGCCACTGCACTCAGCCTGCCCCCCACCCCAGGTCAGTGTCCCCAAGCCCAGGCCTGGCACTCCACAGGTGCTTCTGAGTGTGATGCAGCTGGACAGGAACCGTCGATTTGCCCCTTTGTCCCCACAAGTGTCCCCAGAACCTGCTCCGGGGCAGGCGCAGCTGTCCCTGGGATGTGGCGGACGCCACCCTTTCCTCACAGTGCTGGGTTCTGGTGGGACCATCCCAGCCCCGCAGTTCCAGGCTGGCTCTGGCCCACACTTCCTCGGACGGGTGCCCGGGACGCCGTGGGTGGGGGATGTGGATTTTGGAGTCAGAAACCTCTGAATTCCAGCTCTGCCCCTCACTGGCTGTGGGACCTGGTCCGGTGGAGGCCCTGCTCCAGGCCCTGGGGACTGACCCCTCGGGGCTGAGACAGACACCGGCAGGGGGGCTCGGCTGTGGACAGGGACAGGGACAGGGCAGGTAGCTGCGAGCAGCTTCCGACGGTTGGTGTCTGTGGAGAGCGAGGTGGTGAGCGAGGGAAACGAAAAGAGGCCAGACGCCACGCAGGCCGCAGCACGCAAGGGCCGCCCAGCCCAGCCGCCTCCCAGGCCCAGAAAGGGGAAGGCGGCCCAGACCGGGAAGTGGTCGCCGCTGATGACCACCTCGCGGCGACCGCGCCAGCCCGAGCAGGAAGTGGTCGCCCTTCCCAGCGGCAGGCCCGGCCGAGCTCACACTTGGGAAACTGCCGCCGAAAGTCCCCGCTCCCGGGCCGCTTGGGAGCAGCCTCGGATTCTTAGAAACCAGCTCCCGCCAGGCCCTGGCTTCGTGGCCGGGGGCCGCAGACCCCCACCCGACTCTGCCATTTCCTGGCCCTGAAGCTCTGACCCCGGGCCTCCCCGTCTGGACCTGTTCCTCCTCTTTAAAGGGGTGATGATCCCCCACCTGCCACCACAGAGGATAGTGAAGACAGAAAGTCCTAAAAAGGTCAGAGCTGGAAAGTCCCCAAGGGCCTGTGACGAGGAGGATGCAGGTGGACAGGGTAGGAGACAGGTCCCATGCCAGGTCCCATGCCAGGGCCATCTGAGGTGGGGGGAGACCTACAGAGGGGGCAGGGCCCACCTCAGCTCCACCCCAGCCACAGGACCTTGGTCAAGTCAACCCGCCTTTGGCGCCTTTTCCTGTGACGAGAAAACAGGCCTTGTCTCCCCGGCCCCTGGGGACCCCGCCTGGGACGATGCCCATAGAGATGTTCTGCAAACTGTAATGCGCCGTGCACACAAGGGCTGCTCCGTGGGGCGGGGCTGGAACCCGGATCTTGTGGGTGTGTGTCCTTTGCTGCCCCCCACCCTGGGTTCACTGTCTGGGGGGTTTTGGGGACCTGGAGAAGCTGCCCCTGGGGGGACTTCTCTTAGTCCCCACCTCCCTGACTTGGGTGAGAGGGGACAAATCTCTTTGCCTGATTCCACTGAGTCACTGGAGCCCGTGATCCTGGAGGGGCCAGGTGTGAAGATCTCATCTCGTCCACACCCGCAGTCAGACAGGCCACTGCCACCGACACCCAGCCCCTCACTCACGGCTTCCGCCAGCCCAAACCCACCTTCCTTGTAGGCCAGGGGGCCTCCTAGGGTCCCAAGACCAGCAGCACCCATGACGTGGCCAGGTCGGGGCAAGGCTGGACTGACCGAGTCCTGGAGTCCTAACCATCCCACCATCACCACCATGCGCACTGTCACCACCACATCTCCATCACCACTGCCACCACCACCCAACACCTCCTCTGTCACCACTGCCACCACCACCCACCACCTCCTCCGTCACCATCACCACCACCACCCACCACCATCACCACCCCAGCCATTACCCCCACCATGAGTGTCCCCACCACTGTCACCCCCAGCGGCAGCGGCACAGGGCCTGTCTCACAGGCTGGGTCAGCCACCCCACTTCCACCGTAACCCTAAGCACCTCTGCCCTTGCTGGTGAGAGTTGGGAGGCCCCAGTGAGGCCCCCCCAGAACCTGTGGGTGACCCCCCAGGGTGACTGAAGACCAACCTCTGTGAGATGGCTGGGGACATTCAGAAATAAAAATGCCAATTGCCAAATGAACTCAACTGACCCGACCCTCAAATAAGAGCCCTGGGAGGGAGGCAGGACAGGAGGAGTGGCCACAGTGCTCCTTCCATCTTCCGTGGATATCCCGGATTGTTATGTTAGCTGACAGCTGTCCAGCGGCTGACTGGGCTCATCTAAGTACGAGCTCAGCCCTGCAGGACCCTGTGGGGAAGGTCATGTTATCATCCCTGTTTCACAGTTGGGGAAACGAAGAGGCAGAAGAAGTAAAGTGACCTGCCACAGGTCACCTAGTGAATGGTAAGGCCAGGGTTTGAACGCGGGTATCCCAGACCACAGTGCAAGCTCCGACCACTGCACTACCCTGTCACGTTGGAGGAACGCGGGCCAGGCCAAGGAAAATCCTCGGCGCCCAGTCCTGCCAGGGCCTGCGTGCCATCGCCCTGAGGCATGGGCCGTATAATGGAGGGCTGAGTCCTCAGGTCCCACCACTAGGCCTAGCACACAGTAGGGACTCACTGTTGCCTGAGTGAGTGAATTAACACGGGCCTTCAAATCCTTCCCCCAGCTCCTCCTTCTTCCCCACCAACCGCACAGAAGGCCGTCACTGAAACTGTGGTGTTACCATCCACCGACAGAGAGCAGCGTGGATAAGAGGGTTAGACCTTCCTCCAGCAGCCAGGAAGAAGGAGTCAGGAGGAAAAGGAGGCAGTACTTTGTGGCAGGCATGGATGCAGCCATCAACTCAAGACTTAGGACAAAGCCTGATGGGACATGCCGTGGCTGATGCTCGCTCTTCATTGGCTGAGGTAACTGAGATCTTGAGGGAAGAGTATCCTTGCCCAAGATCTCAGCAAGTGAACGGTGGAACCAGGCTTGGAGGCCAGACCTCCTGGGCCTTTCCCTGGTGAAAGTGAGGAATGACTGACAGATTCCCAGACAGACCAGGCCTCTCCTGTCTGCAGGAACAACCCAAGTTAGCAGTCACTAGCCAGGGGCAACCCCGCCCCCCTCTTTGCACATAGCCAGGCCGCCCCCTGGTGGCCATGACTGGCAGCATCCAGAACCAGTCACGGGCTTGCCCATCGTCAGCCATAAGATGCATGGCTCTCCACCTTATTGGCCTAGGCTGTTTGGAAGACGCTGGGCCAAGGGCTCCAGGTTCCAGTTCTTCAGGGACTCACAGCCCACAAGGAGGCCAGGTGACCCGAGGACAGAGCAGACCTGCTCAGCTGAGTCCCAGCAGCTACAGCCAAGCGCACCCAGGGCTGGGATGCTTCGTCCCTCCAGGCTCCACCATCCTGGGGGGTGAGTACTTGGGTTCCCCACTGATGGCTGCTCAGCTGAGCCCACTGGAGCTCCAAGAGGGGGTGTGACATGGCCGAGGAGCTCACACTGGCTGAGTTCAAGTGGAGGGCTTGGTCCGCCATCCGTGCCACACTCACGGCCACCCCTGAGTGCAGCTGGCTCAGACTGGAGTGGCCCTGCAGGCTCCTGGCAGGTGGGGCTCTGCGGCTTCAGAGACAGGACCGTCTCCTTCCAGTTACTTCACCCACGAAGGACCACAAGCACTGCAGTTCCCTTCTCTAAGCACTGCGGCTTGCACTCGTGGATCGTTGATTTCACTCACTTAATACACACTCGCGGAGCGTCGCCTGCGCCCTCACGTGCTGGGCACTGGGTTCCAACAGTGAGCAAAACAGACAAAACCTCCTGCCCTCACGAAGCTTATATTCTGGAAGAGTCGGCAAGACAATGAGCAAAAATAAAGAAGATATGCCCTGCACCAGGTGGCGACAACCTCTGGGCAGAACAAAGGTACAGAGGAAGGGTGCAGCATTGGGGGAAAGGGGTGGAGCTAAACGGTGGTCAGAAAGGTCCCCCTGAGGTGGCATGAGAGCAGAAAGCCAAAACAGGGCTGAGCCGTGCAGTGTCTGGGGACAGCTTTCCAGGCAGAGGGGACAGGGTGCAAAGGCCCGAGGCCACCATCTCGCGGTTCAACTCAAGAAACCTTGAGTCATAAACCGCTGGGTTTGCATTTTGTTGCTGTGATCAAAAGACCCACCAGGAACTCACTTAGCAGAGCAAAAGTTCATTTGACCTCACCTTTCAGGGGTTTGGCCCTTAGTTGTCTGACCCCATTGCTCCATGGGCCCAAGGAGAGGCAGAGCTTTGAGGCGGAAGTGCGTGTGGAGGAGTTCCGCCCCATGCGTGGTGGGCAGGAAGGGTCTGCAGGGAAGGTGCCCGTCTAGGCCACAGCCCCAGTGACCCGCCTCCTCCTGCCATGTCCCACCTGCCTCGTCATCCCCCGATCAGTCCATTCAGACGAGGACATCGGATCATTCTACCTTGGTCTTCTGCCTCCTGTGCCAGGGCAATTTAGAGTGGTTTAAGATGATCCAGATTCTACAGGGTGCCCTCTATGGCACCCCTAGGGATTAGGGATGCCCAAACCCTGAGGTGGCATATGGATTCCAGAAGGGCTGGTCCCTCAGGGAAGGGAACCAAATCCAACCCAAATGCATGCAGCCTCCTCACTGTCTGACCCTGTGTCCCCCTTTGGGGGTGAAGGGGCTCTCCTACTCTGAGAGGGTTGTGCCTTATGCAGACCAGAGCGGGGAAATGGCCACGGAACACCACTGACTGATCGTAGGCTGACCAGCCAGCCACTGCCCAGGAATCAGAGGTCAGCCTGTGGCCAAGGTCAGCAGCCAGCCTTGAGTCTGAGGTTTGTGGTCAGACCAGGAATCAGCTGGAATCAAGAGTCAAATCTGTAGCCAGATCGAGAGTCCGCACATGGTTCAGTTCAGGGATCAGCCTGAGAAACAGCAGTCACTGCTCAGACGGGGACTTCATGCATCACCGGGGTCATAGGTCAGGCGGGCCAAGGTCAGGGCTACTCCTGGCCAAGGGGAAGGGTATGTGTCTGTGGAATGAAGCCTCCCAGCCCAGCTGCACCAGCCCAAAGTCTGACGGCCACACCAGGCGGGAAATAGAAGGGAAAAAGCAGTCACAGATCCCAAGTCTGGACCTGGAGTGTCCCCTGAAGGCCGCGTGTCCCAGCCGGTGGTGAGCTGGGGGGTGCCGAAATCTTCCAGAGGTGGGGCCTCGTGGGAGGAAGCTGGGTCCCTGGGGGTGTGCCTTCCCAGGGAGCGCCAAGACCCCAGCCCCCTCCCATCTCTCATTGTTTGTGAATAGCTTCGATCTGCCATGGGCCTCCGTCATGAATGTGCTGGGCTGCCCCGGGGCCCAAAGCCACAGGCCCAAGTGACCAGGAACTAAAAGCTCTGAAACCATGAGCCAAAGAAACTTTCCCCCCTCTAAGTCGATGTCCTCAGGTATGTTGTCACAGTGACGGAGAGCTGACACGGACACGCTGAGCCGCTTCAAGATCCAGTCAGACCAACTCCATTGGGCTTCAAGGCCTGGGGATCCACCGTCATTTGCAGCTCTGAGCTCCATATACACAGTGACAATGACGATGACGAAAACAGCTTTGCATTGGACCTCACACTATATAAAAAAGACGAACCGGAGCAAATTATATGGACCTAAACAAGCTTGATTGTAAGGGAACAAGCCCCCCCCGGAGTCCATGATCATCTGATGTGTGAAAATCCAGAGAAGACAAAGCTGTGGGGACAGAAAGCAGATCAGTGGCTGCTAATGTCCAGGGAGCAGGAGGAGGACACGGTCATCTCCAAAGTGTTGGAAGCGCATGTCTTTTGAGGGTGATGGAAGGGTTCTATGTCCCTACTGTAGACTGGCTCGCAACTGGAATCGTTTTCAAAATATCTCCAAGTGTGCGCTCAGAAGGGAGGCCTTGGTGTATGCAGACTGTGTGCTGGTAAAGGTGATTTTGGAAGTGTCCTCTACTCCTGGCGTAGGAGGGGAAGGGAGGGAAGGGAGGGGGGAGAGGCGTGGGCAAGAAGTGGGGAGAAGAGGAGGGAAGGGCCTGGGCTGGTGGACCCACACCCCAGGTTGCACCTGTCGTCCCCGGGCCCAGCAGACACAGGCTCAGGGCGCTGGGTCCCTGGACAGGCCTCCTGGACCACTTCGGAAGGCATGTCCCGTCCGGGCCTTCTGGGCCAGAGAAGCGGTCAGAATGAGGGGGTTTCCGTCCTGGGTCTCAGGTCGAGCAGTGGTGTCCCCTCGGCAGGATCTTCCTCCTCCAGGACTCAGTTTCTTCTCGAGCAGGAGCTTTGGTCTCCAGGGCAGCAGACCAAGGGCGGAGCACACCCAGCTCGCCCGACAGCGGGCAGAACCAGCGTCCGGCCCTGTCGTCTCACCCCGAGCCCCCGCTGTGTAACCAACGCGTTAACTGCCTGGTGCCAGGCTCCAGGGGCCCCGCTGGGCCTCCACTGGCAGGGACAGGCCTCAGGGACAGATCCACGCCAGCCTTGGTGATTCTGCTTCTTCCCAGTCAAAGAGCCGCCCTGCCGGCTCCAGAACAGTCCTCAGTGGGCTCTTGTCTCTGTCCGGGAGCCCAAACAGCTTAGGCCCGGAGCCAGAGGGCCTGGAGTTCAGGGCCCACCTCTGCCGTGTCCTGGCCGGGTGCCCTGGGACGGCTGGTGGCCCACTCCCACTTCCCCACCTGCAAAGCAGGGAGAATGGTCTCACCCACCTCCTAGAACTGTGAACCTTAAATACTGACCCTGGGTGAAGTGCTCCCAGCACAGCATGGGCCAGAATGCTGGCCATTGTCACCGCTGACCACGGGACTCACTGGCCTTGTGCTTCCACAGGCCGGCCCTGGCCAGCCCAACATAGGGCTGAGCAGAGACCGGCCATTCTCCTGGAAGTCCGAGCTGGCATCCCCCGTGGGAAGCCTCAGCCTCTGTGGCTGGACACTAAGCCTTATCAGGGCCCGGGAAGGTCAGGGTGGTGGAGGCCGTGGGCTGCGGGCCTGTGTGCTGTGGTCAGTCCTGGGGAAGGAGCCAGGGTCTGAAGCCACACTCCCCGGCCCTAGCATTGACCTCTGCCCACCAGAAAACCCTGGAGAACAGGGGGACGGGCAGCAGACAAGGCCCAGCTACCCAGCAACCGCAGGGACCAACCCTCTGCCAAAGCCCCACACTTGATCCCACCCACCACACACAGTCCCCTGATGGCTTCCTGGCTCCTGAGTCATGGGGACAGCAGAGGGGCAGCTGCGGGTCTCCAGATGTGAAGATCAAGCACAGAGAGTCAGCTCTGCCCCCTTCACCTTCAGCATCACCAAGTCCCCGGGCGCCAGAGCCCTCCCCATTGCATGTGTGTCTCCATCGCCATGTGCTGCCCTCTACCAAAGTCCCTGTCCTCAAGGTGTCACAGTCCTGGGAGCTAAGTGTCCCCTTTACCCCTCCCCGTCGTCCTACAAGTCCTGGCCCCTCCTCAGAGGTGAGCCTGACCAGAGCTGCGAGTTGACTCCTCCCCCCACCTGACATCGACTTCTACGGGTAGGATTTGTTTGACGGAGGACGGGTCAGGGGCTGGGGACGTGGCTCCGTGGTGGAGCACTTGCCCAGCACGTGGAGGCCCTGGGCTTGTTCTTGCAGACAGAAAAGGGCCATCCCATACCTGCTGTTCTCTGACTCACCATTTTCTCCTTCTTCTTTTCTTTTTAGAGCGTAGATCTTTCCACATTAGTATACAGATCTGTCATAATTATCAGCCACTGCAGATTGTTTACAGAAAACACATCAGAAAAGGGCAATCACCTGCACTCTCAAAGATTTTTTTTTTCTTACTTACGTAAATTAAGAAGTAAAAGCTCCAAATATGGTGTCTGTCTCTTGCATCTTTTCCTAAGATTGTGGAGGACGCTGTGGAGAGGCTGTGCTCACTCAAACACACACACTGGTCTTGCAAGGTGGCACCCTGCTCTTCACCCTGTTCTGAGTTGACTTTTCTTTTCGTCTCTCTCTCTTAGTGAGTCTGGACTTTATTCAGCTACTGAATAATTACTCCATCCTCTGGACGTACCATGACGTAGCCACCATTCCCCTTCGGATGGACACCTCAGTTAGTTCCAGGCCTTTGCTGTTATGGAAATGGGTACCTTCCCTCTGTGTCTTTGCACCCCTTTCTGAGTTCTAAAGTCCTGGGGGCTGGGCACAGGTTTAATGGTGGGATGTAAGGCCCCACCCAGCGCCTCCTCCAAACTGCTGTGAAGCCTGCTAGGAACTCAGCAAGTGCCAGCATTAAAACAAACAGTGAGCCCCCCAATCCACCTCCCCCCATGATCACTCACCCTGGGCACCTGCGGGGAGGCAGGAAGCAGCTTCCCAGCTGTCCCCCAGCACCTCTGGCCCCTCCAGCAGCTACAGATCAAATGGGCACGAGGGGGCTGGAGGCGCTGGAGGCCCTCACAGGTTCAGAGGCCAGCCCGGAGGAGGGGACTCGTGGATTCCTTTCCACACGGGCGGGGCTGCCAGCCTGGTCTCTGGGGCCTGAACAGCCACTCGGCCGCTGCAACTGGCAAAACAAAGTGAACCCGCAGCGCTCTGGAATCCGAGCAGGACCGCGGGTCCCACTATGGATCCTCTTCACGGGTGTGACTCCTGTGGCCCAGGCCAGCTACAAGCCAGCCACAGAGAAATAAGGGAATCTTGTCATTCACAGCCACATGAATGAGCCTGGGGGGCACTATGTCCAGTGAAGTAAGTCGGACCCAGGAAGGCCAATACGGCGCGTCCTCCATCACATGTGGTCTCACAGAGTAGAGAACAGAGCCGTGGCCCCGGGGGTGGGCAGGGGAGACGGGGCGGGAGGGAGAGTGGACGCCAGGTACCGGACACCGCTGCGCAGGGGAGTGAGATCCGAGGTTCTGCCGCTCGGTGATCTCTAACAATCGACCGTGTGTTTATAAAGAAGAGATGAGTTCAGAGTTTCCCAGCACGAAGAAAGTGGAACATGGTCAAGGAGACCGTCACCCTGATCTATCTTCACACACTACATACAAGCATGGAGTGATCCCGCTGGGTCCCCACAGAGGGAGAGTTGTTAAGTGTCAATTAAAAGAGTCCAAGGGGCTGTGGGTGTGGCTCCATGGCAGAGCGCTTGCCCAGCATGCGGCAGGCCCTGGGTTCATCCCCAGCACACGCACATGTACACACACAAGCACACACACGCACGCAAGCACACACACACACACGCACACACGCACACACACGGGGACTTGGGGTCCTGTGTTCGCAGCACTGCCCAACACGGGCTGGGCCAGCTCCTTCAACTTCTCTGAGTCTCAGTTTGATCCTCTGGACAGTGGGGATAATGAGCAGCTTTTCATGGTGTCTGAGAGACACAGGAGGTGACAGGCTCGATTGAATGTCCAGTCAACAGCACTAGTGGCCTGGGAGGTCCTCAGCACGTGGCCTGATGCTGGTGAGTGAGCTCCGTCATTATTCTTCTGCCTGAGGTCCAGGGTCCCGTCCCCAGGGCCTGCTGAACTCTCACGGACCTGGATGCCCTCATTGATCCGGTTAGGACCCCCCCAGGAACCATTTCTGCATGGACAGGTCACCCTCTGCCCTAGATGACTGCCCTTTGCCAAGTTCACGGTCTGGAGTAGCCAGCCAGCTGGGCCTCCTACTAATGAGCCCCTGGCCCCGCCCAGAGGAGCTCCCTGCACTCTCCATTGACCTCTGACCTTCCCTGGAAAGCTCCCTCCTCCACTCCTGGGCTCTGAGCTCTCCTGGGCTCTGCGGGCTCCATGAGCAGCCCCTGAACTCCCGCAGCCCTCCGGTGTTTGGAACCCCCCAGGCTGTAGACAATCTGGGTCTAAATTTCAATTTGGCCCCTTAGTAGCTGCTAGAGACTGAATGTTTGTGTCCCCAAGTTCATATGCCCTAACTCTCAGAGTAGCCATCCGCAGAGATGTGACCTCTGCGGAAGCGACACTGACTGAGGTCCCCAGAACCGGCCCTGCTCCCAAGGCTAGCTTCCTCCTAAGACGAGGTCCCTCTCTGCGTGTGCACAGGAAGAGCTCCTGTGGATGGACAGCCACCAAGCCAAGAGCCAAACCTGGCTCAGAAGGAAACCTGCCTGTCCCACACCTTGACCTTGAACTTCCCGCCTCCAGAGCTGTGAGAAATCCGTGTCTGTGGTTTAAGCCGCTCAGAGGGCAGGGAGCAGACCAAACACTAACTGGGTGAGATTCCTGGGCCCCGGTTCCCTCCAGTGTAGCTGTGGGGACTCAATGCACTGAGGCGGTAGGTGGCTTCAGTGGCCGAGCTGAAGCCTCATGGGGTCCCCACCCGTCCCTGCCCACTCGTCTCCCCTTCAGGCGTCCCTGTCACTGGGAGGATGCTAATGCCACAGACATGCACGGGTCCCTTCCTGCCGGTCAGCTCTGCACAAATCCTGGCCATGGCCCGGCTCCAGCTGCTTCTCAGTGTCACCTTCTCAGCTTTGACCCACAGGGGCCATGAGAAGCTGCCTCCCAAGACCCAGGAGTCACACAGGGAGGGATGCCCGGGACACCACCTCCCTGTCACAGGGCACCTCCCACATAGAGCGGGACGTTGCGTGAGGAACTCTTTTGCAGAGCTCCTGGCTCCATCGGGGACCCGGGGACACTTTCCCACGAGCACAGCCCAGAAGCTAGGGCCCAGTGGGAATCCCCAGTGGGCGCAGGGAGCAGAGGCTGAGGCCTGGGAGGGAAGGGGCTGAGGGGAGGAGTCCTGGGAGAGGTACAGGAAGGGAGGTCAAGGACACGGGCAGGGCAGCCTCCAAAGGCCTCGGAGGCCACACTAAGGAGCTTGAGATTTACCTGGAGAGCAGCGGCTAAGGTGACATCATGCTGTGTGCAGCAAGGTGTGCTTTAGGACCAGTTAACCCCCGCTCCCTGCTGCAGGAGGAGTGGGCAGGAACAGGCCCTCTCCA